GACAGAGAGAGAGAGCAAGAGAGAAAGACAGAGAGCGAGAGAGAGGAGAGAGAGGGAGCAAGAAGAGGAGAGAGAGAGGGAGAGACAGAGAGAGAGAGAGAGGGAGAGAGACAGAGAGAGAGAGAGACAGAGAGAGAGAGAGAGAGAGAGAGAGGGAGAGAGAGAGAGGGAGCAAGACAGAGAGGGAGAGAGAGAGGGAGAGAGACGAGAGAGAGAGAGACAGAGAGAGAGAGAGAGAGAGAGGGGAGAGAGAGAGAGAGAGGAGAGAGAGAGCAAGACAGAGAGGAGAGAGGGAGAGAGACAGAGAGAGAGAGAGAGAGAGAGAGACAGAGAGAGAGAGCAAGAGAGACGACAGAGAGCGAGAGAGAGGGAGAGAGAGGGAGCAAGACAGAGAGGGGAGAGAAGAGGGAGAGACAGAGAGAGAGAGAGAGACAGAGAGAGAGAGACAGAGAGAGAGAGCAAGAGAGAGAGAGCAAGAGAGAAAGAGAGAGAGCGAGAGAGAGAGAGAGAGAGAGAGCAAGACAGAGAGGGAGAGAGAGGGAGAGACAGAGAGAGAGAGCAAGAGAGAAAGACAGAGAGCGAGAGAGAGAGAGAGAGAGAGCAAGACAGAGAGGGAGAGAGAGGGAGAGACACAGAGAGAGAGAGAGACAGAGAGAGAGAGACAGAGAGAGAGAGAGACAGAGAGAGAGAGCAAGAGAGAGAGAGAGAGCAAGAGAGAGAGAGAGAGAGAGATTTTTCCAGTGTGTGTATTTGAGCTCTCACAAGGTTTTTTTTTATTTATAGGGAGAACCAAACGAGCTGGATGAAGTCACCTCATGTTGTGTTTTCAGTTACAGTGCAGCTCTGTGTTCTCTCTCTTTATAAAAGTCTTTTTAGTTTATTTTAAGATCTGGCACAGGGCAGGGGGTTACTTGGCTGGAAAACATTTCACCGGTGTATCATTGATTTATTGTTTTACACCCCTACACACTCAAATCTGAAATCAGGTTTCACTGCACAACTTCAGTGTTTTTCAGGCTGTTTGAAATATTTTAAAGAAGAGTATTTCTCCTTGTTTAATCAATAACGAGAGCCAAAGTTTAAATTTGTCACATTTTGTTAAATACAGCAGAGTGGCCGTGATAAGACGATTGAATGCAGGGTTAGAATTGCACTGCTTAGGTGTATGTTGGCAGAGGATGTGGGAGGGTTTGTGCGACCCTGAAGTATTTAAATAAATAAATCTTAGCGGGCAGGACGCATGGTGGACAACATTTCCTATCTGACTGCAGAGCAGTAGCAGAGCTCCTTACAGTGTGGGAGGTGGAGGCCTGCTCCTCTGTGGCCTCCATGTGGAGGGAGAGCAGGTGCTCCTGCAGCTCCAGCTGGGAGGAGCAGATCAGGGAGCAGAGGGGGCAGCTGAACGCCTCGATGCCCTGACCGCCGTGTTGGCTGCTGATGTGCTCCTGCATTTCCTCCTCCCCGCCCAGCACAGCCGGGCAGTGCGGACATCGCACCGCCAACGCCTCCGAGCCTGCCAGGACAAACACTCTTATTTATTTATGAGATTATTTTCACTTAGACAAACAAAGGAAACATGCAGGACATCGTGAATCTTTGAACAGGCTGTTACAAACTGCAGTGGTCATCAAGAAGCAGACATTACATCTTTAAGGTTTCATCTTTAAATCAGTGTTGTGAAATTAAGTGTTGTTAAGCTATGTAGTTTTTCTTATGTCCTACTGTAGTTCATCCATAGAATTCAAGTTTAATCAGCTGTTTCATTTGAACAAAAACACATCAATTTAAAGGTCACATATTATTATTTAAAATTCTCTTCTCCATGTTCCTCTAACTCTATCATGTGTCTCTAGTCTGTCTATAAACCCCCCAATGATAAGAAAAGTCCATCCTCTCCGTCTTTTTCCTGCTCCACTTTTCAGAAAATGTGTGCTCAAACAGGCCGTTTGGAGATGTTCCCTTCATGACATCACAAAGGGCAGTAGCCCTTCCCCCAGGTGGGTGACACTCCCACAGCTAGGTGTTTGTTCTGCCCTCTGAGTCTGCCTTCTCACCGTAAACAATAGGACATGGAGCGAGAAAGCACCGAGTACACCCAAGCCCTTCCAGAGAGAGGGCGTGGTCAGACACAGCTCATTTACATATTTAAAGGTACAGACACAGAAACAGCCTGTTCTGAGCAGGGCTGAAATAGAGGGGTTTATAGACATGATCAAAAACAGGATCAGAGTGGATTTAGAACAAGAAACTTCACACACATGTTTTGTGGAGCTCTGAGACTTATTTAAACTGAAGAAGAGGAGGAGAATATGTGACCTTTAAAGTTTAAATGCTACTCTAGGAGCTACTCTATTGTAAAGAATGAGCAACAGTTTACGGGTCTAAATAGTTTAATCTACTTTAGTTTTCTGAAACAAACCTTGAAGTTAAGATTGAGCCAAGGTGTCTCACTTTTTAGCCACAGACTCTGATCATTTAGTCGTATGAAACAGGTCTGTGCTGCTCTCACCTTGATGCTCTGCCGCCTGGTGTTTGGCCACACTGGCAGCGCTGGGGAAGAACTTAAAGCAGACGTCGCACTGGACCAGAGTCTTGAGCTGCCGGGTTTGGCTGGCAAACACCTCGGGGTGGGTCGTCCTGTTGTGGTACCACAGACCTGACAGTTGCTATGAAAGCAGAGGGACAGGAACATGTAACACAGCGGTCTGGGGGGGGGGGGGGGGGGGGGGGTCAGTAGGTCAGAAACGTTCCCTTTTACAAACCTGGTAGGACTTGCTGCAGATGTCACAGCTGAACGGTTTGGATCCCGTGTGTGTGCTTTTGTGTTTCTCCAGCAGGGCGGCGCTGGTGAACACCTTGCTGCAGGTGGGACACTTGTGGTACTCCTTAGGGTGGAAGTCTTGGATGTGTTGGCGATGCTCGTCCAGCGAGGAGAAGCTGAGGCAACACTTCTGACAGTCGTGAGGCTCCGAAAGGTCTGACACAGAAAAAAGACAGTGTTGAGGTTCTGATGTCAGAGCAGTGTTTCAAGAATATCAAGAATATCTTTATTAACTCCTCTCCTCCCGGGAGAGAAGGAGAGAGGAGAGGTGAGGAGAGGAGAGGAGGAGAGGAGAGGAGGAGAGGAGAGGAGAGGAGAGGAAGTGTGGACAGATCTCCCTCTATCCCATTTTTTCTTAACAAACAGTAAGATCTTTTACCTGCTCTTTCTGTAAAACACCTTGAGCCTGATGGCGCTACACAAAAAAATGATTGATTGATGAGGGAGATCCAGGACTCTGACCTGGAAGAGGCCACAGTTTAAAAAGAGCTTTGTTCCCTCAGCTTTTGAAGCTCTTCATAAGATTCCACGCTGACTGGACTCTTTCATTGTCTGTGTGCTTCTTCCTGTTGTTTATATGTCTCTTCCCGTGCTACGTTATCATATATTTAAACTAAAATAAAGTATTGTGTTGATACGGCCAGAATGAGCAGCAAGAGTTCTGTAAAAGACGGGCGATTTGGTTCTCCCAGGATTGATTGATTGATTGATTGATTGGGTCTTTCAAGAGTGCTGAATTTAAAAACATCAGTTAAGTCATTCAGAGTAGTAGTAATTTGATAATGTACTGTGTTTCAATGATCTAAAAACATAAATATGACCACCATAACCGGAATGTCAGTTCAGCAGTTGTAGTAAGGTGTAAACAGCCGGATGTCTTCTGTATCTGTTAGTTTGTTTGCTGTTAAGAGTATTAGAGGATTCTGTGACTTACTGTGGAAGGTGTGCAGGTGGACGGTGAGTCCGCTGGCCTGGCTGTAGCCTTTGCCACATTCTCGACACACGTAAGGCCGATCCCCGGTGTGTGTCCGCACATGACGCGTCAGCTCGATGGACTGGGCGAAGGTGGCCTTACAGTACTGACACACATACATCTTACCTGACAAAAACACACAGGAGACCAAGTGAATGAGCACAGAGAGTTTACACAAAGCGAACAGGTGTCATGCACACGTGTTGGAGAGAGAGAGAGAGAGTGTGCGTTACCCTCCGAGTGTTTCTTCTTTGTGTGGTACGCGAGAGCGGCGGCCACGCTGAACGTCATGTCGCAGTGTTTGCAGTTGAACGGCTTCTCTCCCGTGTGCAGCCTCATGTGGTTCTTCAGAGACGAGTTGGCGCCGAATTTTGCGCCGCAGTTCTCGCAGGCGAACGGTTTCTCGTCAAAGTGCTCGGTGCGCTTGTGGTAGATCATTCCTGAGAAACGAGACAAGAAGGGAAACACACATGACGCATTTTTATCTTATCAGGATCCGTCTTTACAATGTTTACAGTTAAGTTTTAGTTGTTTTGTTTTTTATTTTTGGTGTTTCATAGTTTTATTATAAAGACAAACGGACTTCAGCTTGTTTAGTTATTTTCTTCTGACTACTCAAAGGGCTTTTACACCGCAGGTCACAACTACACATTCACACACTGACGGTAGAGCAGGAGCAACTTGGGGTTAAGTGTCTCGCCCGAGGACACATCGACATGTCGCTACAGGAGCTGGGGATCAAACCCTCGACCTTTTGGTTGAGAGACGACCGACTCTACCAACTGAGCCACAGCCGAGAGTATGGTCAGAAACCAGGGAGAGAAAGAGAGGGGAATGATGTGCAGGAAAGGAGCCACAGGTCGGATTCAAACCCAGGCAGACCACCAAGAGGACTCAAACCTCTGTACATGGGACGTCCACACTAACCGCTAGACTACCCACAACTCAGACAGTAAACATCAGCATCAACATAACAATCATCAGATTATTTTTACAATGTAATGTCGCCCTTTGAGCTGCAGAGTGAATAAAATGATCTTCAGCTCAACAAGTCAAGATCCTCTTTAATTTATATTCTCTTTTATTGAAATGATAACGTTAACCTCGTGTCAGAAACACAGAAAAAAACAGATTCCTTTAAAATGTTCAAAAAAAAAGAAAAGCTATGGCTTTGTTTGGAGAGATGAAATTATCTCGGCATTACAAATCAAAGTCATCACTTATTTCTGAGGGAAACAAACAGCCGGTCAAACACTCTGCTCCTCCGAGATAACCCACCATTAAACATGATCACCATGACAACCAAACTTTACGGAGGACTTCACATCTACTAGGAGGGAAGATTTAAGGTGGAACTAAATCACTATATGTAGCTGGGCTACATTTGACCAGCACTCATGAAATCCCTCTTGTCCAATCAGATCGCTTGCTTTGAACGAGTCAGCTGTGTGATATCTCACCTGACGGGTG